AGCACCGGGCGCTGAGCGAAGCTTTCCGCCCCTACAACATCACCTGGCAGCTCAGTTTGCTGGAGGTACGCAACTCCTCCCTGCGCCGCCGCGCCATCCTCCTGGGCTGTGAGCCCAGCAAGGTAGGCAACGAGCGCTGCGACCCTGAGTGCGAGCACCCCCTGACTGGCTATGACGGCGGGGACTGCCGCCGGCCTGGCCGCTGCTTCTCCTGGAAGCGTCGCGATGGTGTCTGTCACATGGAGTGCAACAACATGTTGGATGACTTCGATGACGGCGACTGCTGTGACCCGCGGGCCACCGACGTGGCCAGGACCTGCTTCGACCCCGACTCGCCCCAGCGGTAGGTGCAGGGCTCATGGGGGGTGGCGCGTTGAGGGATACACCTGCTCTGTGCCTGGAGGTTGTTTCTGACTGGCCATTTTCCAGCATGGGGAGGCAGAGAGATGTTTTACTGTGGGGACATGTATGCTGTGCCATCAAGTGCAAATAAATCCCGTGGCGTGGGATGGTACCCTGCTACTAAGTGGTTTTCTACCCCAAAAATGTGCAGGGGGTGATGGGGAACTCCTCCTTGGGGGATTCCTGGTGCAGAGCCATCGGTCTGCTGTGACTCACTGGCAGGACCATGGGCACCCCAGGGTGGACAGACCTGGGTGCAATGTCCCCTGACCCCCCAGCAGGAGATGCAGTGAGGGGGTTGCCACCCCTTCCCCATCTTCCCTGGAGATGTCTAATAGTCTGATTTCTTAATTCATAGTCAAAATGCTTCTGCCTGAGTTCTGGGATGGGGAGAAGGAGGTGTCACTGCTAGGTGTGAATGGCAGGATTTGGAAAGGTGTGGGGTGGCACATGTGAGCCTCACTGAATCTCACCCTGGGGAGTCATGCCCTTGGCTGGGTGCAGGCAGGGGCTGATCAAACCCAGCACCTCAAAGCCAAATGGTCTTTGGGGAGCAAATCCTCCCTTTTCAGGCAGAGGCACATAGAGACGACTTGGTGTTGGAGGACACTTCCCTTTAGCAAGTGCCCCATGTGCAAAATGGCCTGCAAAGCACATGTGGCTCTGTGGAGCACCAACATGCAGTGTTAAGGGACCCTTTGGAGGCAGCAGCTGGGATGGGATGGAGAGAAGCAGCCCCCTCCATGTGATGGGGGACCCTGCAGCGGCAGGGACAGTGTCCTTGGTGCGCTTGGTGGCTTACAGATGCCTGCCCTCCTCCTCAGAGCCTCTGAAGCGCCGGCAGCCCCGCTGATGGCTTCCAGTGACCAGGGCTCTGCCAAATGTGCTTTCTGGCCAGAGACAGGAAGGAAAAAAATGTCATGGCTTTTCCTTTTTTTTATTTTATTTTTTTTTTAATTTTCAAGCCATTTCTGTCTTGGTGTCAGAAAAAATTGCTTATTCCCTGCTGCCGTCTCCCAGCATTGGGCAGAGGTGCCCACTGGAGCAGTGCAGCACAGATGGCAGCAGCTGGGCAGAAAAACCGAGAGAGCAAGTTGTAGGGACACGTTGCTCCTTAGATCTTCTTTCTCCTCCCATTTTTTCCTCTGAGGCTGTGGCCATAAATCCTTTTTTTCCCAAGCCGGCTTCTTCTCTCTGCCGCTTCCTAGATGGGACGCGGAGTGAGGAGGGAAGCAGGCAGGTGGTGGCGATGGGAGAGGAGCAGCGTTTCCCTTCTTCAGCCTTTCTCACACGTCCTTCAGTCATCTGAGAAAACTCAGGAGTAGGATGGGGAGCCTTTCTTCCAACGCAGCCCTCCGGCCATGGAGCCACACACCCTGCCTCTACCCAAGCATCCCCCTAGAAGATGTTTCCCAACCCCTGAAAGTGTCTTTGGTGATCACCACCACCGCTTCCCTCTGCCTGCCTGTCCCCTTGTCGCCCATCCCTGTGAGCGAGCACAGACAACATTTTCCTGAGCGTGGGGGAGATGAGCGGCTCTCCTGCCTGTACCACAGCTCTTCTGCCTGCACAAGGACTCTCCGCTCATGGTGGGCATGAGCATCCCACGCCACTCAGCCTTTGCCTCGGCAGGGCAAGGGCTTGGTCCTTGTCCTCTGTGTGCAGTTGGAGAAATGTTTTCATCCTCAGACAAGAAGGGCTCCACCTTAAATTAAGAAAGGCCAGATTTTTGCTGGTATGAATCAGGGCTTCCATTTGTCAGGATTTTCCTCTGAAAGTTGGGAAAGAAAACACAAAACAAAACAAAAACCTTGCTTCTGTGGGAAAGAAATGGGAAAATGGGAACACTAGGGAAAAAACAAATCTTTTGCAATTTTGTTTCTGCAGACCTCATTGGCCTGCGCAGGGGACAAGATTGACTGTAGGCTAAGCTTTGAAAAATGGAATCCAGTGTGCCTGGCATTCGGGAAATGTGGGGGCATGAGTTGAATCCTGCTGCTGCTGAGGTCCTCCGAGCTGCCCTTCACTGGCTTCTTCAGAGATGCTGGTAGACGTCCAACCTCCCAGGGCTCATCCCTGCTAAGGGTACCCTGGATCCTGGGGAAGAATATATATATTTGTGGGGAAACCACTGGGAAATTGGTAGTGCAGGTTTAGGGGAAAACCAAGGCGAGTTTGGGATGGCTGAAGGGCAAGGCCAGATGGGTGGTGTTCTCCCAAAGTTGGTGGATGAATCCCAAGACAGAGGAGCAGGTTACCTGAGCCCAAGTGGTTTTATTCAGGCTTAGTGAGTGCCTCTGAGTTTGCTCGTAAGGTATTATACTTAGACGAATATTCAAGTTAAGCAGGGCAGTGGGGGAACTTACAGAAGGATTTTTAGGGTGGAAGCCAAAACGGGAGAAATAACTCGAAATAAAATTTAACAAACTGTGGAAAGGCCGCACAATAGGAGCCAGGTGCTTCAATGTGAACAGCAGCTCTCGGTCTGTAACTGGAGGAGAGCTGGCTGCGGCTGCACCGAGGCGCCTCTGCTTTTTCATACCTGCTGGAGAACCACATGCCAGAGCCCAGGAGGGAGCTGCGGCTCTGGGAGAGCTGGGGGAGAGGGGAAACCCCACTCCAGGTGGTGCTCTCTACATCCCCTTTCAGATCAAGGCGGCAAGACAAAAATCTGAGGATTTTTCTTTTGTGGAGTGAATTGGCTTTGCTGTATTTCATTTCCAGGCTCTCACAAAGAGTGGTTTGGATGTGAATGTTTCTTAGTACAGCCAAAAATAACCCAAATGAGAAAGTCAGAGTGAGACACTGGACTGTTTCCTACTAGCATTGTAGACAGAGCCAGTCCATTACGGTGAAGGGTCTCGATACCTTGTCTTGACTTGCATGACCTTAAGTACTCATGCAAAAGTACACAGAAGGTTCAGCTTAAACATAAGGAAAAACTTCCTTACTGTGACGGTAACAGAGCATGGCCCAGGCTGCCCAGAGAGGTTGTGGAGTCTCCTTCTCCGGGGGCATTTAAACCCCACCTGGAGTTGTTCCTGTGTGATCTTCTCTGGGTGACCCTGCTCTAGCAGAGGGTTGGACCGGATGATCTTCAGAGGTTTCTTCCAACCCCGACCATTCCGTGATTCTGTGAAAAGCTTTTACCGTCCTAGCACATCCCTCATGTAAAACCTTCTTCCCTTGGGCTGCAGCTCCGAGAAAGGCAAACCACACTTCCAGAGGCAGAAGCCTTAGGAGCAGTGGCGGCTTTAGTGCTTCTTAGCTGGTGGGCATCTCAGTGTAGTTCCAGGGCCACACTTGGTGCTAGCGTATACCCTTGCACACACAGAGGAGAGAGATAAGGCTTGGAAAGAAGGGTCTTAAAGCTCTACTGGGGGCAGATCCTGCTGTAGCTGAGGTGGGAACTGCCCCCTGCTGTGGGGAAGGGATGACACTGAAATGATGGCAGTGCTGCTGTACACAACGCCAGGCCACCCAGCCGTCTTGCCAAGTCCTTCCTGCACCCTCTCTAGTAGTGTGTGGGACACGACAAGTCCCACTGTGCTCTGAGCCCCCTGGGCCACCACCCATGTGCAGACCCCACCGGTGGGATGCAGTGCTTGTGGCTGGAGGGAAACGGCTGAGTGGAAACACCCCTGCAAGACAACACAACAAGAGCCTTTAGGAGCAAAGCAGGGACTTCTTCACCTTGACCCACCTTATGAAGAACAAGGGGACAGGCAATTGTAGGAGAGCTGCCTGCTGTCATCCTTTACCCAGTCTTGTCCTGATTTAAAGTGTTTTCCAGGAGCTGCTAGAAGTGCAGTGCCTCAGTCTGGAAAAAAATCTGCCTTGGTTTGCTGCAGACAGCAGTGCCTGAGTGCTGCTGTAATTGGTGCTCTTGGAAGGAAAGCAGCAACGGCGCATTAACAGCAATTAACACTCAGCGAGGGTCCCCCTCGGGCAGTTAGTCAATGAGAGTCTGGGGTGACACAGTTAATGTGAAAAGAAAAACTGGAAGGGAGTCTGGAGAGCAAAGTGGATAAGGGTGGAGCTGCTGGGCCTTTCATGTCACTACCCAAAGTAGCAGCAGAAACAAGAAGTGACAAAGGAGTTGAAAAGTGACCAGACCTTCACTGGGATGACCACAGCTGTGATATTCAAGTGTACCTGATTAACAGGACACTTGAGGGGCTTTAATGCAAGCTGAGCTGGCCTCCCATCCTAAAGGAAGGATCCTGAACTGGGTTAAGGCTGCTTGGGAGCCTCCCACTGTTTCAGCAGTGTCTTCAAAAACTGATTCAGATTAACCTCACTGAATGTCTCTCATGGACAAGGCCCCAAGGATGAATGAATCACTCCAAGCCATTCTCCAGCCCATTGCAAGATGCTCAGCTCAGTGTGGTTGGACTGAGAGCATAAAAAGTGTCAAATTGAGAGCAGGTGAGGCAAGTTTGGCATCTTGGGGCAACGGCCTGGACCTTAACCCTATCTCCATGGTAAGACAACATTCAAATTAGCTGTTCAGTTTTCCTTCCCCTTCCCTTACTACAGGAAACCTTTAGCAGATCTTTTTCACGGTGAAAGGGGGCAGGTATATGCAATGTTATCTGAAAATTTTAACTTTTGGGAACAACCTGAAGCTGCAGAGCATCGATTCAACTGGAGATGTCAGGTATCTGCAGACACCTTCACTTGCTGCTTGTGGTCAGTCACTTGAGAGACAGATGGAGAGGTGTGTTATCTGCATGCTGTTGAATTCACTGTTTGTGAGGTGTGGAGTGGAAGAGGCTATCTGCTTCCCTGATGCTCCCATGAGGAAACCATGGTTAGGAGGTACCCCTGCTCAGGGCCTGAGCCCTGGCTGCTTTTTAGTTCCCTCTGGCACCTCTTGCAGTCCTACTGGCCAATACCCAGATATTGGCCTGGTGGTTCCCAAAGGACCAAGTCTCAGGT